GGGGGGCAGGAGGGGGGGTTGGAGTGTCGCTGGGCAGGTGTGTCAGGGGAGGGGGGCACCCTGTGAGAGGGACCTGCACCCTCACCTTGGACATGCCAGCAAGGTGGCGTGGGGTTGCGACCGAGGGCCAGGGTGGTCCTTGAGGCTGTTGTGATTGTAGTCTGGGTGGTGGGGGAGGAGGGGTGTGTGTGTGGGGAAGATGGATGTTGTGGGGCAGGAGGGGGGGTTGGAGTGTCGCTGGGCAGGTGTGTCAGGGGAGGGGGGCACCCTGTGAGAGGGACCTGCACCCTCACCTTGGACATGCCAGCAAGGTGGCGTGGGGTTGCGACCGAGGGCCAGGGTGGTCCTTGAGGCTGTTGTGATTGTAGTCTGGGTGGGGGAGGTAGGGGGTGAGGGGTGTGTGTGGGAGTGGGGCTGGGGGGAGAGGGGGGGAAGATGGTGGGGTGGCATGCATGATTCATGGGCAGGCAGGGTGCAAGATGGGGGTGGGGTGAGAGCCAGCACCCACCCATGCCAGGGGCTGCTGTGCTGGCTTCATCTGCATACTGGGAATTCAATGAGGGTGACCAGGGGGGGCCGAGGGGGGGGCTGGCCTGCTGCCAAAGGTGTGCTGCCAGGGCCGGGGCACCCGGCACCCAGTCCTTGCCAGGGCTCACGGGAGCCGGGCGGTGCATCATGCAGAGCATTCGGGGACAGTAGACATGATGGCCACAGCGCCTGCAGTGTATACGCAGGATCAGGGGGGGCGCGCACATGATGGGTGCAGGATCTGTGCGTCCCGCCATCAGCCTCTCTGTCTCCGAAGTGTGGTGACTTGCAGGACGCCCTGCTCCAGGGCCGCCAAGTCCATGTTGGTCTGGGCCCTTCATTCATGATGTGTGCATGTTGGTGATTTGGCATGATGATCGTGGGGGCGCCTGGCCCCTGCATGTGGCGGTGCAGGCGCTGGGAGGGCGGTGGGATGGGGGGGGAGGGCCTCCTGGGCCATGACGACTGGCACCCACAGGGCTCTGGGGAGTTTACCTGACGTACTGCAAGCTCCCGAGCCCAGTTGTGTGATGCGGGGGGCACCAGGTTGGCCCCATGCCTGGTGTGGATTCTGCAGGCAAGGCTGTGCAGGAACCAGTGACGACCGGGACGTCCTGGCCGTACTGGGGTCTGTGGCGTGCTGAGGATGATGCTGAGTGATGTCATGTGTCGGCTTGGTGTGGCTGAGGCCGAGTCGGTGCGTCAGGGGGGGGAGCCCTTCATAGGATGTGTCCCTGGTGTGCAACCGCACGACACCCTTCGGGGACGATGGGTGGAGAGGGGAGTGTCATGGCTGCATGTCCAGATGTAATACAGGGTGACCTAAGATATCAGAGATGCCAGAATTGCTATGAGTCGGGGTCGCAGGGTGGGCAGAGGGCTGTGTAGGGGGTGGGGGAGTGGGGTGAGTTTGGTGTGCTTGTGTGTTTTTGGTGGGGGGAGAGGGGGGTGTGGGGCCTGATGGGCATTCAAAACATCAATGCATGGGGTCATGGGGCTGGCTGCAGAGTCAGAATCAACGAGTGGGGGGGGAGGCAATGAGGTGGTCGGCCACTCCATGTCGGC